CCAAGTATTAAAATAGTCTAAACTACGTTTGTAACTTCAAGACTGCCCATCAAGGTTTCAAGAGCCTTATTCACACTTTTTATGTGAGGACAGGATTGGAAATGTAACATCATGCTCAAAAAACCTCCACCCTTTTAGCATCTGGGAAAATATAAATAATATTGAGAAACATTTTGTATATTGAATAACAAACATTTCATAGAACTCAAATGGTGTGGTTGATGGGCTACAGGAAGGAGAGCTGATAACACCTGAGAGATTTCAGACAACTGAAAGACTAATCTCTCTTGATGTCATATAACCAGGACCATTAGTGCCACCTATAGTTAGTCTGTCTGACACTTCTCACTTTAAGACCATTTTTTCAGTGGATTTTGAGCCTGTTGCAAACTCCTTCTGAACAAATACCATTAAGAAGAATTTGGTTGAGATGAGCTCTGGTTTACTAAGCTTAACAGTACTACTGGATAGACCCAGCTGGATGTCAGCTGGTTTTTAATTGGTGGCTGCTTGGACCACAGGTGAGGGGAACGCTGCAGCAGCTTGTGTAGTTCTAGCACAGGACAGAAACCAAACCTCAAAACATGAAGGTAACTGAAGAATTAAAGGCAGATACAAAGTCTTCATTAATGTAAAACTGAAGAGAAAAAGCAATTTAGCAAGGCATGGACTGCAAACCCCATTCATAATATTTATCTTCCTTATTCCACTCTAATTTGGTAATTTTGCCCTTCAGTCTGCCATGACCACATTTCATGTTAGCACTTCCAACATAGGTTGGTTGTGAGCCTGGTTAAATTAATGTACAGAATTAGCTTCAGGCAATGCAGCAGAAATAAATAAAATCCTGCCTTGTAAATCTGGGGGTTACTTCTTTCCACACTATTTTTTTTAATAGTGAGACAAAATTTAATTAATGGGCTTTTTGAGTGACACTTCAGTATTTCCATCCTTCTATTAAAAAACTGCTTCCAGTGCAGGTACCTCTGCATTGGATTGATCTCTGTGCCTGGTTTGCAGTACACTACTATATTCAGAAAAAAAGTTAGTTAAAAATTCCCTTTGTTTAAATCTGTACTTGCTGCTTGGCCATGAAGCTTGGAAAGCTCTCCAAAGATTATTTTATCCTGCTGTGCCTAAGTAACCAGAAGAAAATACCTCCCATCTCATTACTCTGATTTACCTTGAATAACCTTTGCATGTCATGAGTTGATGACTGCCAGTTGGTCAGCATATGTATTTCTGATCAGTCTATTCTCTAGTGCTCTGCATAAAAAGCCCTCCTGTCCCCCATTCCCTATGCACACACCCCCACCCCCCCTTCCTGCTGTACAGAAGACATCCACATGAGCAGAGCATGCTGGATTTAGCTTTCCTCCCCTGTTGTTAGTTTGGGACTGATGGAGATGAGAAGCTTCTGGGATCAGAGTGTCCCCAGACTACATTTATCTTTTTCTTTTTTTAAATGCCACTGAGCTTGGGAGTCTCCCGCTGCTCATGTTGCTTCACTGTTCAAGTTGGTTGCTGCATCAGAAAAGGAAGGAAAACTTTGATCTTGACATGCCTTCTTCTCTGTCCCAGCTTACAACTTCTGCAGAAAAAACCCCCCATGATTCAAGTGCATCTGTGGTGACAGTCCTTTCAGGCAAGAACAGATGCTTTTATCAGATGTCTTCCCAAAATCTTTAATGTCCAGATAAGTCCAAGTGAACTGTCAGAGGACAGACCCAAGCACTGACTTTATCACCATCCCCATGCTGCTCTCAGGTAACCTGCCCACAGGCTTAAAAGTGTCCTTTCACAAAGTGGGGTAGATTTAGGTCATTACTTACTGTGGCTTCCAGAACTGAGGGATCAGCAGGACCTCTGGCAATGACCACAGAGGCAGCAATCAGTGTCCAGGCAGCAGCTGTGCTCTCACAACTCCGCTGTAGGCACATCTATAACAGCTTTGGAGGAAGACAGTCCATGACCCTAATTGTTTGACTTGCCCTTCACCATCCATGTGTTTAAAGGTATCTGTCCCTTGGATCTTATCTCTCTGGCTGCTTGAATTTGTAGGGTATATTTTCTTCATTAGCTGTGAGCACCTTTGCACATTTTCACTGACCAAGTAGACCTCCAGTCTTGTGTAGTCTTATTATTTTCCCAGTTCCCCTCACCAGCTTCGGGAGTGGAATTATTATGTGGTTAAAAGCCTTGCCTATAACTTAAAATGAAGAGGAACCATATTAGCATTAGATAACTCACTGTTAATATATAATTTCAAAACACTAAATTAAAAAATGATGTTACGATTACCTCGCATGGTACTGTAGACTCTACAGATCATGGAGGATGTCCTCAGTACAAAGAAGAGTTTGGTGGCTCTTTCTATTTCCTACATGGCCCTTCATCCATCAGCCATACCAAATGGTACTGTCATTTATGAGAACAAGACAATACCCTTTTACTGTTGCATTGCTATTTGATATGCATTCTTTGTGCCATCAGACAGGCCAGAGCACATGCAGAGCTGACCCTGGGGTGTTGGTGTATACTTAGTAAATGTAGCTGACAAACCTGTATGCCATTTCTTTGGATTTTTTTCCAGGTTAAAAAGAGTGAGAGGCAAGTACCACTTGAAAATGCACAAGTGTAATCTTTTAAGTGAATTTAATGTAGTACAGTCTTATTTGCAATTGCAAATACTAAGGCTACATTTTTCCCCTTACTCCAAATGCCTGAAAATCTCATTAATGTTAATGTATGGGAAAGAAGTGCTTAGCCTATTGATGGAGGAATGAAATCAGGAGCAAAGCACATCTCTACAAAGATTCATCTGCAGATTAGGGTCTGAAGCAACCATTAGATTATCAGATCTGACCTTCTATCTAATACAGGCCATAGAATCTCATCCACTTAATTCTGTATTTATCCCAAGAACAGCACCAGAAAATCAAATACAGTGCATTAACATATTATAATTTAGCAATATATTCAGGCATTTCTCCTTTTTTTAACTCTAAAACCAGAGGCAAACAGCACTACTGTGCTATATGATTATTGATGAAAATCTGCAGGAGGAGAGATTTTAGCTTTTTATCTGTCTGCAGAGGAGAATTTGTGTGTCTTTGTGCTTGCATAGGATTTTGTTTAGTTCTTTGAAAATTATTCATTGGTAACTCTAACCATTACAAAGCTGGTTGAGAACCATTAGTTCTGTTTTTCTCTGAGGGCAGCACAAACTGAAATAGGGATTTTTGTATTTTTTAACAGAAAAAAGTCATTTTCTTGAAAAATCTGTGTGGTCCTTGACAACTGCTTTCTAATATCTTATTTGGAAACTCCCTGCCAGTCAGTTTTCCTAGGAAGCACGAAGCACATTTCACATCTGGTTTCTCATCCCTTTGACTATAACACAAAACTGCCCTTGAAGTGCACCTGGGAGGTATCCAGGGGGATACCACACACACACACACACAAAAATGAACCAAACTGTCTAAAAGATCTGCACTGGGCTATTGCATGTTTTAACCATTAGCCAGCATTTTACTGAACAAAGGGGCTAAAGAGATGAGACAAGATGAGGAAAGTATCAAGGAATTCAGAGAAGAAGTGGTGGGTGGCACTGCACAAAATACAGATGTCCCAGGATTGGCACATCAATATTCTCTGAAGAAAAAATCCTCCTGCCCAAGTTTGAGGTGCCCCAACCCCTTGGTGTTGCTCATCCCGTGAAAACATTTCTTTGCAACCCACCACAGCCCAGATGGAGGGAGAGTCTCTGCTGCTCACGTGTTGCAAAAGCTTTTGCTGCCCCTTGGGCAGGTGAAACCTGGGCTCTTAGGGCTTGTCTGTAACAATGCAATTTCTATTTCCTTACTCTCTAAAGCTCAGAAATCCTGCCACTAGCTTGGTCCCATCTTGAAATTTTGTCTGGGTTTTTGACTCAAAAGTGCATTTGGATCCTGTTCTTTGTGGTTTTTCTTTTTAAAAATATGAATCATGGCTAACTACTGCTATTGAAAGCAGATATTTGACCTGTGACTGCAGAGACACCTCAGGTGGCTCTGAATAACCAAACATAGGAGCCTGCACTAGCATGGCCCTTTGCTCAAGCTAATATTCCCTGTTTCCTGGAGGAGCTCATTGCCTGCCTTAGTAGAAGCTCTTGCTGTGGTTGCCGGACACAGTCTGGGCAGGAGTGGCTGGTGGTGAGAGAGTGGCCTTCTCTGCACAGCTGCTGTGTGGGTCCTCCCTAAAACAGATTAGAGACTCTCCAAAGTATCCAGTAGCACTGATAGTTGAAAGTTAGGGCACTGTTAACAAAATAGTAAGGAACACAGAACTATGTGTGTTAGAAGACCACACACTCTTTCTTTCTCTGTCAATGTGGCTTCAGCAGAGAGGCAAATTTATCACGGATATTCTGTTCAGTGAAGAAATCATATCTGAGTGAATGGTTCTCTTGTAGAGTTGCAGGAATATCCATGGGCTTAATTTATTCTGCCAAGGTCATAGCCAGGTAACAAGCCACGATTATTCAATTCTCTAACATAAAAGACACCAGCAACAAGGGCACAAACTTTTTATTTTGAAAAATTTTCCAACTCTGGTGTCTCCCTAGCCCATGTTAGCAGCAAATGGGGTCCAACACTGCTGTAACCATGGGATGGACTGCAGAGTGGACTAAGCAGTGACCACATGTCAGATTGAGGGTTCTATAAATATACTTGCCACCAGGCTGTGTGAGCACTTGTGCTCCTTCATGTTGGCTTCAAAGCAGAGCTCTGGAAGCTTTGTGAACAGCATTTAAGAAGTGTCAAGAAGTCTGTGTATCAAGAAGTTTGGAGACAAAAAGAGTTTATCTCCTAGAATAGGAACAATTTTACTCTGCCACACAGTGAACTGTTCTATGCAGGCAGAAATCTACTTTTCTATGAATTTATGTAATAAGCAAAAAGGCAGTGAGAGTTTCCCAGCCGCTTGACTTACTGGTGCCTGTGCTTTCTTTGCAGTTGTCCAACACAGCAATTCTTCATCAGATTAGACGAGACCAAGTGACAGACACGTGCCGAGCAAACAGTGTGTCCAGCAGGAAGCGCCGCGTGCTGACACCCAATGATCTCAAACACCTGGTTGTGGATGAAGATCATGAGATGATCTATTGCTATGTTCCCAAAGTGGCCTGCACAAACTGGAAGAGAGTCATGATGGTTTTGACGGGAAGAGGCAAATACAGTGATCCGATGGAAATCCCAGCCAATGAAGCCCACGTGTCTTCAAACCTGAAGACCCTCAACCAGTACAGCATCCCAGAGATCAACCACCGCTTGAAAAACTACATGAAGTTCCTCTTTGTTCGCGAGCCTTTTGAGAGACTGGTGTCAGCCTACAGGAACAAGTTCACCCAGAAGTACAACACTTCCTTCCACAAGCGATACGGCACCAAAATTGTGAGGCGCCAGAGGAAAAACGCAACCCAGGAAGCTCTGCGTAAAGGTGATGATGTGAAATTTGAAGAGTTTGTGGCATATCTCATCGACCCACACACCCAAAGAGAAGAGCCCTTCAATGAGCACTGGCAGACTGTGTACTCCCTCTGCCACCCTTGCCACATCCACTACGACCTCATAGGAAAATACGAAACGCTCGAAGAGGATTCGAATTACATTCTCCAGCTGGCAGGAGTAGGCAACTACCTGAAATTCCCCACCTATGCAAAGTCTACGAGAACTACTGACGAAATGACCACAGAGTTCTTCCAGAACATCAGCTCCGAGCACCAAACGCAGCTGTATGAAGTCTACAAACTTGATTTTTTAATGTTCAATTACTCAGTGCCAAGCTACCTGAAATTGGAATGAGGGATGGGTTGGGGGGAGAGAGGGGAGAGAAAGCCTGTTTTATTTAAGATTTTTATTTGTCATAATAAATATGGAGAATGGGTTATTTTGTAAATTAATATTTTCTTTTTTTGAATGATGCTGCGAGCAGCACAGTCAAAATTATTTAAATCAACTGTAAGAAAGGACAGCTCTCTTTGCAGGGTAACAGGATTGTGACGATCTAGCTGTAGAAATGACTAATACTGCTACACTGTTTAAAAAAATGTTGTGTTCTGGTGAATTTCATTGATCTTGCATTCCTCCAATTCTAATTAATGTTATTTATACTTATTTAAAACATTGTCTCTTGGTAGGTGTCACTTCAGCAGCAGAGATAACATAACATTTGGACAAAGGGAGTCTGGGTTTGTGCTTTCCTCAGTTGAGCTTGTCTCTGGGTATTACTCTTCCATTAGCCATTGATTCAGGTAAATATAGAAATGGTTCTTCATACCACATGCTTTGAGAAGAGTGTTGGAAATAAGTTCTTCAGAAAGTGATATTGCACTCTACACTAGTACAAAATCTATCTTTCTAGCCCTGAAAAGGAAAAGTAAAACAGACTTGGGTAGATTCGTGCTATATAAAACCCATGACTGAAAGAAATGTGAATGTATTCCTCAGAAAGAGAAACCTTGAACCTTTTATAAATCCTATTGAGCTTATCAAGAATATGACCAGTCTCATTGTCTCTTAATTTGGGCCTGCTAGCCCAAAAAAATGCAGATTTGCAGATGGTCCATCAGAAAAAAACCAGCATTTTGGAAGTGACTGTAAGAGATTTTTGAATGCTCAAAGCAATTGGCTTTGACTTAATTCATATCCAGGATGGGGTTGGGGGAACTTCATCCTCTGCAAGTCAGCCCTCCCTAACAAATCTTAAGATGGACCACCAAAACTGGCTCGAGAGACCCCATTGCTATAAATGATCTGGCCATGTCATTTGAAAAGTCAAAAAGTCATCTTCATGTTGATAGCATGCAAGACAATAAAAAAGGTCTCATCATCCCACATGCTGGTTTCATGGCTTTTTCCTAGGGGGAAGAGGGAGTCTTCTTTTTTCGGTTGATGCCTAAATACTATTGACAGGAATGTTTTTAAATTCCAGTGGATTAGAAATTCATCTTAAGTGAGTCCTAGTGTAAGGCCACGACCTTTTGCATTAAGGTGAATGTCTCAGTACCGGTTGTTTTGTGTATAACAGCTTGTTGGGATGACAGATTGTACCAGTCGCAATTGTTTTGGCCAAGCAAATAGTAATCTATTCACACCAAATAAATAATGAAAAATGAGATTTCAGTGTGGATCTGTTAGCCAGCTAGTGAGAGCAGAAGATCAGGCTTCTCCAAATGTTTGCTTCAGTTTGATGCAGGTGAGGTGCATGGCCTGGGGAATGCTCTGTAGCCACCCCAAGGTGTCCTGTCTGGGGGTGGCAGTGCCATCAGAGAGCTGAAGGGCAAAAGCAGGCAGAGGCTTAAATTGAGGCACTTGTGGGAATCTAAAATCTGTTTTAAAGTTGATAGATGGTTTAAATGGGGTTTTTGAATTGCCTGTGTGTCAAGATCGAAACAAACCCTTCCAGAAATTACTGATGATTTAAACAAACTCAATTGAAGGCAGAGCTGTTTTAACAATATCAGAGCCAGATCCTGAAAATATATTGTACAGTAGCCAATAATATCCACTGAATTACATTAGTTTCCAGGACACAGATGTGATTAAAGAAGAAAAATAGTTTGCATCTTATTTGATAAAAATAAGTTGCTGAATAAATCTCATAGAAAAAAAAATAACAAACAGCAACTGAAGTCCTTTCACAATTGGATTTGGTCTTAGGCAGGACTCGGATCATTATTTTTTGTATCATACCATACAAATATATCTCTCATCCATTCTTGAACAGCCACAGTTTTCATAACCCAGGTCCTATTTATAACCCAGAGCACTGACCCAGTGGCAAGCAAAGGGCTAGCTGGCTGTGCCTACCCACCCTGAATTCCTGCTGGTTGGTTGCTGGCTGGTGTTTTACTTGAAAGCAGTTTTGTCTCATTTAGAGTATGTGGAGCTGTTGCAAGTGCCTCTCACAGTATGCCCTGGCTTTTTTATGTTCCTCGTTCAGTGGTTGTATGTTTGTTAAAAAACAACTGAGGGTAGATTCCCCTTTCTCCCCCCCCCCTGCCTTGCAATACTTCCTACAAGCTATTTGTGTGCTTGTTTGGTCTTGCATCCAGCAGTGCTCATATTTTGGTCCAATTTTCTTCTCAGTTAGTTGTTAATTTCTCCAGGAGGATGTGATGTGAATTTTTTCATTTAAGACAAAAGTGGCCTGAGAAAGAAAATATTTTAAAAACGGTGTGGGCTTCCCCCTTTGTTTTTGTACTTGAGCATCATCACCACGGTTTTATCTGCTCTGAAATACTCCCTTTAGTTTCACAGCCTTGTAGACACAAAAGCCCTATTTGACAGCTCTGATAGAAAAGCTTTAGGTGAAAAACATGTTCAGGAGATCTGAGGAGTAAGCATTACTCCAGGCAGGATTTTTAGCAGCAGCTTTGAGTTTGATTACCCAAATTCTGCCTCCCCACGGAGGGCTGCTCTGTGGGTGGATGCTCACCACTGATGTGGACTAAAAGTGGGCACTTTTATGTCACTTGCTTTTTAAAAACCTCGATCCCAAACTACTACAACCTGGTTATTTAGTGTGTTTTATCTGTTTTGGGGTGCTGTGAATAGGCTGTAGACCGTGTTTAAAATGAACAGCTGACATGCTGGATTCGATCATGCAGTGAGCACAAAGCCCTCACCAGCTCAGAGGAGGATCACAGATATTAAGGAATAGCCTTTTCTTTTGGTCTACTGAGTGTGTTGTTTTGACTGAGCCAAAAAATATCTCTTTCTACTGCAGCCACACAGGAGGGATGTTCAGGGTTGTTCATCCTTATCTCAGTGAGATGGCAGCCACCACCTGCAGTGGGGGGGGCAGCCAGGGAATCAGGCTGGTTTTACCCTCACCTCTTCACTGAGTTTCCCAGCTGGAGGAGAAGAGGGGCTGGTCTGCTCCTGAGCTCTGCCTCCCTCACAGCTTCATTTCTGTTGTGGCCACAACTAGTCCTGGGAGACAAACAGGCAGCACTGACCCACAGCAAAATACAAAATACAGATGTCCTCGTGGGACAGCAAAGGCCACCTAGGGAGCTGCTGTTGTAAAAGGATGTGCATTAGTTATGATCAAGTCATGATGAGCACAGAGAGGACCCGATGGGGGAAGTCTTGCTCCCCACCTCTGTCCCCAGCCCCTCAAAGCTGCTGGAGCAGTGATTCCTTATCTCTGAGCAGCTGATGCCTCCCTGTCACTTGGCGTGGCCAGCGCTGAGCCCAGCAGTGCTGGTGGCTCTGTACTCGGCACAATACCCACAGCCAGGGGTTCATTCTCCCCGGATGGCCCCAAGCACCTTAACCTGGAGGGCAGGCTGGATTTGGCCCATCGAACATGGTGGTGACTCCTGGGTGGTGGAAGGTCCCCCCAAACCTGACTTGGTCCATGCTTCAGCCTCTTTGTAAACCACATCCATTACCACAGAAATGTGCAAACTGCCTGAACCATGCGCTGTGTAAGACAAGTGAAATAAATAATCCACAAGCAGAAGTGCTTTTAGAAGTAAAATGTTTTAGGGTTTCACTGTAGTCTGCTGCACTTTTCAGGTACAAAAAGGGACTGTCCTTACTATTACTCTTGTTACAGAGAGTGTTATTTTCTTACATGCATGCACAATACAATGTGTACGAATAATTTAACATCAATGTGGGGTTGGATTTTTTTTTAACCTATTTGTATGCAGTAGAAGGCTTGTTGTAGAAAAGTATCTCCTCATACTTAAATATACTGTTAATAAAGAAAAAAGCTAAATTATACATTGCCAACAGAAGTGTGAACTGCTCATGAATCTTTCCTTAAAAAAGCCATTCAAGCCTGATTATTTTTCTAAGTAACTTCAATTAAATTGAAGAAAGAAAGTTCCTCTCTGTGTGCTTTATTTCTGGCTCATGCTTTCAGGGTGGATTTTTCAGGGTGGGATTTTTGTCTACATGGCTTTGCTTTCTCACCTGCGTTATTGTGGCAGGACACACAGAAGACTTAAAATGATCTACTACTGTGGAGCAGGAAAGCTAAAGTCATCTAACAGCATCCCTCTTACTCCTCTTCTTTCTCAAGTTCCCAGCCAGCAAGGATGAGGGCTGTCAGTTTAAGACCTGTTGCATGCCCAGAAACATTGTCCTACCTCAAGCAAGGGTGATTTAGAGCCAGACAGATGAGTAAACTCCAGGTACCTGATGAGCTTCAGGCCACGTGCTTGCTCACCTTCATGTGAATCCCCTAATAATGGCTTTGAGTTTAACATTTCCAGCAGTCCCCAAGCCTGCGTGGTATTGTCCATGGTTTTCACTGAGGCCACATCTAACCCCAAAGTGGAAACTTCCAACTGAGCTTTGAAGACAAACTCAAGATCTCTTTGTAGGTGACATGCTTTATGTGACAGAACATCTTGGTATCCCATCACTGTAACCTCTTCAGCATCTTAACATGCCTCTTGAATTGGGGAGGGCCCCAAAACTGAATGCCACATTCTGGGTGCAGCCCTGCCAGTGACAAACAGACCATTGAATCTGCCAGCCCCACTCCTCACAAGGCAAACATCATTCACAGTGAGAGCAGAGACAAACAGAAAATAGGCAATCTGCTGAGCAAGTGTCATAGCACATGGTGGGGCACTGGCCAAGCCCATTCCCACCTCAAATGCCCCATCACCCTGCACTCCCTAATTAATAGGCAGAACTGCAGCACTGTTTATTGAAATCACAACTTGGCTGTGCAGTATTAAGATAACAACCTTCACCTTTCAAAACATTGGTGATTTGTGTCTTCTACAGTCTCAATCAGAGGGAGATAATTAAGAAGGTCTTGAGAAGGACTGGATCTAAGTGAGCACTTAGCCTGAGTCTGGCCACTCTGCTGATTGTTCTGTATCCCTTTGGCAGCTTGGCAGGGCAGGGAATACACACTCTTGGAAGTGATGCAATCCCGTTCTGGCAGTGCATGGGTCTCTCGCCACTGTACTGCCCTGAGAGAGCCCCTCAGCTGCATTCACAGAGGTGGAGTGCAGTGCCATGCAGAAACAAGGGCCAGGAGAAATCTCCAGGAAATCCCTTGGCTGTGTAGGGATCAGTGCACTAGAGCACGGCAGGGAACCGAGCACAGGCAAGGGGAACCAGCAGCTGCAGAGGTCAGCCATGGAGGGAGGGAGCTGGGGGCTTTACAAAATTGAAGTCACATGCACACAAAACTGGAAACTTCCATTTTTGAGGCAATGGGGTAAGAAATGGCCTCTCTGCACAGCTCTTGGGTGCACAACTATTGGGTGATTTCCTTTGTTGCTTGTAAGAATAGCAGAGAGAGAAGCCCAGTCCTCGATACTGCCACAGACTCACAAAAGCACCAGTGGAAGGAAGCTCGAGGATTTGTCCTTTTGGCAAGCCTCAATCTTTCCATTAAATAATTACAAATTTACAAAACCCCTTCATTTTTGTACCCAGGAGCTGCCTGCAGCAAAGACCTCAGACAGCCGCTGTACGACAGTAGAGCTGGCAGCAGCAGAGCTCTGTGCAGCACCCCCGGGGCACTGGGGGATGTGACAAACTGTAAGGATCCTGCATGACTGAGGTGTCCCCTTGCCCAAGTGAGTAATTCCAGTGGAGCTAATGCAAAGTTTGAAGAAAGCCTGTTCCTGTAGTCATAATACACTCCCTGTGCAAGCACTTCCCTACCTTTGTTTGGATGCAAGTGCATTTCATTTAATTCCATCATAATTGCAAAAACATTTAAAATAAGGGAAACTGGAAGGAAAAGAGAAAAAAATTAAACAAGTGCAGAGAAGAAACCAGAGCATATGCTTCCCAACCAGCAGCACAGTGCTTTTCTCACTAGTTGTGTTACACATCATCACGTACAAGACTCCTGATGCCACAAAAAAAATCTTGCTTTTCCAGGTGCACCTACAAGTTTGCCAAAGACTGAAAATTTTGAAAAATTAGACTCTGGTTTTATTCTTCAGTGTGCTAAAGGTCAACATATCCAAAAGCCACCTCCCCAACTTGTATGCAAATCAGTTTTTTTAAAAAAATGTATTAAAGAGGAAAATCAAATTTCTCTTTCCTATTGGCATGACAAAAAGCCAACTGTTTCCACTGTTATTTGAAATGTCATTCTACTGGGGTGCTCAAGCCTCCTGACTATGAGATTCAACTCATGGCTAGCTAAGTCAGAGCCATTTAGGACCCAGAGTAGTGACCTATTCATGGAAGAAAAAAGAAAATATTATCATTAATGTATACGTTGTTTAAAATATATTTTGCCAATATTTAATAATGTTACTAATTTTGAATTGAAATTGATTCCTCTGTCCCCATTTTTTTTGAGTAAATGCAGCCTGAGCTAATATTTCTTTAGGTGCACATGTCCTATCACTAGGCAATTAATGGAAAGTTCATGCTGGAAAATGAGACATAGCATTTAAAGTAAATTTATGTGGATTTGAAAATCTCATTTCAATCAGAGTTTTTAATTAAAAAGCAAGCAACTAGCAAAGCTGTTTTGAATCCAAATCAATCCAAAGTTTATGCCCTCATTTCTGTATTTTTCACTAATACATAAAGCTGTCAGAGTAACATACAGCTGAATAATAACACTTTAGCCACTAAGCTTTGGTTTATTCTAAAAACTAGAATTTTACTGTGACAATTCATGACTTTTTAGCAGCAAGAGGTCTCTGTGCTGTCAGTAGGTATTTGCAGCCCTATATCAAGTCAAAACCTGCAGCCCACAACAGCCCCAATTTACCATAAAAGCTTGTGCAAAGACGGGGTTTAAGCCTTTCTTAGGCTCAATTTAGTCAGACTTACTTTAGCAGATAACCATTCTAGCTAAGGTTTAGTTTTATGTCTAAAGTAGAGGTGTTGGGTTTTTTTTAAAATTTGATTGCTCTATGAATGTGATCAATCACTGCATTTTTTTTATCCTTTTTTTAAACTTGAAAGAAATTAATTTAGAAAGAGAGGTCAAATCAGAGCAAGCAGCCACAATAAGAAGAGGCAAGTGTTGGTTGCAGAGGTGTCCAGGTAAATGTTGAGACATCATTCAAGAAAAACAAAATATATTCCTTCCAGGAATTATAGCTATTCATGATTTATGACAAAATTTTCCTTCACTTTTATGGAAGGACATAACAATTTAACTATTTTGAATTAATTTTACAATGTACTTTGCTAGTTTATCATAAAAATGTTACTGCTGTGTTCGTGCAATACAATTTTATGTGCTGTATGTATCATTCCTACAGCAGATGCTTTTAAAGCATCCCTTTTTCACTTAGGAAAATCTCAAAAATTAAATCCACCATTTTCAAATTAAAAAAACCCTTGAAGTGCAAGGATTAGAAGGAAGCATGGCTGAGTGCAATTCAGGTGACAAATTAAAGTCTGCATAACTACGGAAAAGGACTGCAAGATGGGAGGAAATGTAAGATGGAAAGTCTCAGTTTGGGGAGTCTCCTTGTGAAACACTGAGAATTAAATCAGAGGAAATGTTTGAGAACACAGTGGGGTGAACAATCCTGCTTTGCTTATTGCAATCCTGCTTATTGTAGTGTGTTTCACGTTACCTAGCAAATCTTTAGTGGGGATTCTGGAAGCTGATTAAAACCTATAAATGCTCTCATATAAAAGAGTATTCCATGCTGGGGAAATGCAGCCAGAGCAGAGCACATAAGCTCTGTCCCAGTTCCTTAGCAAGGAGTTACACACTTGGTTTGCAGTGTCTGGATTTCAGTCTTACTTTTCATGATGTAAAGATGTCAGATGGAAAGCATTCAGGTGAATACTTCTGAAATAACTAACAGGTTTCAGGTTTAAGATGTTTTGTCCTTGATTTTGAACAGCAGAAGCTCCTTAGGAATTATGTGCCCTCCATATCCTAAACCAGGATAAGGCTGCAGTCAGCCTTTTTCTCATGGGTGTTGTCATAGTTCCTGTGATGGGTGTTACTGTTAACTCCTCCATTATTATCAAATTACCATGCAAAGTGAGCTTTTGAGGAGCACAGAGATTTCCAGCTGGAGACAGACACTTTAGCTTTCCCTCCAGCAGGACATTTCAGTAGATGTACTCAGCCAGGTGTGCTCCTGTTTCCGAGTGAAATAACATGTTCACATTTCTCCTTTGATCAGATAAAAAGCCTCAGGATAATTAGCTGAAGAGATGATGGTGATAACTAATGTTTTCCTTCTGCATCAGAGATCTTGCTGATGCAATTTGGGTATAAGTCTTGATAGATGTGAACTGAATGCAGCCCTGTGCTGCACTGCCAGATGCTTTCCCTTCTTCTCAGAGGCTGTCAGACAGCAGAGAGGCTCCTAAACCTGGGCATCCTATCCCCCTGTCACTCACAGTCATTCATTTCTATCAAGTGACCATCAGTCTGCCATACAGAGCAAACATAACGCCTTGCATTTTTTGGCCTGAATTGTCTTAATAAAAAAAATTGAAGTTTAATTTGTTGTGGGTTGTTAGTGACTAAGGATTCCAGGCCAATTCTCCCATTTCACAAGAGGAGTTAAATTGGTATCAGTATTATACAAAATTGCCTCTGCTGCATAGCCATGAGCATCCCCCTGTAGCCCTGAGAGGCAAGCACACAGATCTCCCCCGAGCTATGTGGCAACAGCCCTCCTATTCCTGATCCTGAGGGCTTGTATTGGAAAAGGGACTCCCAGTTATTCTGTAGCTTACAAGGACTTTCTGCATACTGGAGACAACTGTCCTCAGAGCATACAGAGGGTGCATGGGTCGGTCTTGCCTAGTCCATAGAGCTGTAAGCCATACCTTTCTAAAAGCAGAAGAAATGGAAAAAAAAAATCTCCTCTTATGTGTGGCAGGAGGTTTTTATAGAGGTATG